TTATATATTAGTATACACTGATTCTATTAATACTAAGTAAAGTTCTCATACAAATAAAAGTATTTGTAGTCCACAGTTGGTTTTTATATTGACGCCGTATGCATAAGTAGACCTCATAAGTTTTCCAGTATTAGAGGATTACACGCAAATTTCAAGATAAACTCTGAAACACCCATACTGTTGAGACGTCATTCTCTCATCAATTTCACGTTAAATGAAGTATTGCAAATGTGTAACTTAGACATTGATCAACAATCTCAGTGATGTCTAGTGAGCATAGTTTTCTGAATCCTACAGAAATTACATTCTCATATTTAGGAATCTGTAGTCATCAAATATAAACTGAACATGCCCCAACTCTAAGCAACTATGCACAGTGTTAACAACATAGAGAAACAGACCTGTTGTTTTGATGAGGATAACAATGATATTTGATGCAACCTAGACATTCAGTAGTGACACTACGTCTGTACTGCTTCAGGTAAATGGAAATTTCAGAAGAAATTCATCTCCACTATTGGTCATCAAAAACATTGCAGTATTTAGTTTACAGTGTCAGACGGTAGATTAATAATAATAAAGCTAACTAGATTCAATTCTCGTAATCAACACAAACTATGTGTATATTATTACTATAAATTGAGTGATTGCACTAAGTGAAACGAGTTACTGCCTTGTGAAGTTCACTGCACTTGCCACAATCGCGAGAACCACCTACATTTGTTAGCCTAGCAGTCAGCTAAGGAAACAATGGCACAATATTAATAGAGGTTTCTTTTATACATTGAATTCACATAACGCATATCGCACTGTGCCAATCAGTGTAAATATATATTAAATCCACTTAGAGATAACTTTTCAACTTACCATAATTCCTGTCCAAACACACATACAGTGAAAGGCACATCTACATGATAACTTCTGTTCCCACAGAAGGTTCTGTTAGCATTTATAGGTGATTCCCATGTACTGATAGCATTCTTTTTGACAAATAGTGCTGTTCTTCACACGAAAATAGTCACATTTTGACGTGGTCTTCATTGAATGACACTGTGTAGAAAGCTGCAGCTTCTACAAGAAGTAAACTATTTGTGTAGATGACATTACCCTCCAACTACCCTGTCTCCCTCATTATAGCGATGTTTTGACTCATTGAGCACGGAACACTAGTCATTACAACCGATATGCTTAGAGTGTGTCACATTCGGATTACATGACGCGGACACCGACATAACTAGTCAGGAAATGAGAATTTCTATCAATCCAGAAAACATATAACACAATTTTATTGAAAATTATTGACAAAATAATTCACCGAGTGAAATTTCAACCAATATGCTGGATAAGTCCAGCTTTTCAAGCGGATGCTGTCGATAACTTTTGTTACACATTACATCCTAAGCTTAACCGTAACCCTAAGTGTTAGTCAGCATCAAACTTGTATTGAACATTATGAATAGCACCCAATTGTAGTATCAAGGGATGATGTTGGCTGATTCAAGGTCATCTGGCTGTGGTGTCTGTTATTTGCTCTTGTCAAACGTTTGAAGTTTCTCAGAACGCCTCAAACGATTATCTTATTATCCTATGTGATGCAAGCGTCCATCAGACTTATACAGAACCCCAGTTGGTAGTGAAAGCGGTAACGGACACTATTATTATTACTGTTTCCTCTAATTCCTAGTGTAACACAGGGCTTCAGCCGCATATCTCCACTGCGTTAGTTAAGTTTAAGTAATGCCTTTCTAACTTCTCATATTTACGAAATCGTGTTCATGTCATCACTTCACTAAACGCATTATTATTTGGCAATCGTTTTAAGTTTACACCATATCATTTTTATTATTTCACAATCATAATTATTATTTGTCACCATTGTACTAACGTCTAGTCTATATGTACCCACACATCATTAAATTATTTTATCGCATGTTCTCATCCACTATGCATATTTGAAACTAACTCATCATTGTTCCATCCCATTTTATACTTGTTCCACAATACACTTTCTGATATGATTCTAATTTGCCTTTAATGACTGGCTATTGTATGCTTTAATTAATGGATTTATAATTGTAAAATCACAATTGCTTTTGATAGCACCCAGCATAAAATAGTATGTCATCCTTTCTCACGAATCGTGTGATCTATTATTTCTCAGGCAGATTTATGATTTAGTATGGGATCAGTTGATCGTCTTTTGTCTCACCTTCGTCTCTGTCGGATTACCAACCAATGAGAATAGCCATTTCCAGCCAATAATAAGAACAATACATTCTCACGACTCCATTATGGGGAAATTTTGTTTTGATAAAGTCTCACAGTGTTTTACAGTAAAGTTTACTTATGACTTTTCGAGCATAATTTATTGTTCATAATCATATCAAGATACTCACACGACATCCTAACTTCATTTATATAGTTTCATTATTTTTCACTTGATTTGATTGATTGTAATATTTTCCATATTTCGGGTATGAGTGATAACTCATTCCTATTGCATGCATTTGGTGTAGACTCGATGAACAAGGATTCAGTAATCAACCTCTCTCTCTCCACCTATCTAGATTACTTTTTAGAATTTTAATTTGGAAAAAAGGTCAGTAACTGCAATGCATCCATTAACACATGACCACACAATAGGGTGGGTGGGGGAGGGTTAAAATTCTAAAAAGTAATCTAGATAGGTGGAGAGAGAGGTTGAGTACTGAATCCTTGTTCATCGAGGTTACACCCAAAACATGCAATAGGAATGAGTCATCACTCATACCCGAAATATGGAAAATATTACTACTGTGGTGAGAGCAGGCCGTGAGAAAATATGAGCAAGGCTGATTCAACAACCAATCACAGCAAAGTTAACGTGGCAAAATATGATTCGCAGATAGAGAACTCTATTTGTCGAGGAATCCCGAAACAACCAATCAGAAGCCTGCGTTTGTCTGCCTAACTTCTGATAAACAACCAATCAGATAACTGCGCTTGTCTACTTGCATAAGCTATAATAATGTATGTGAAATATGTATAAAAACGTGTTGATTTTCATAATAAAACGATCTGTTGCCTGGCCCTTGTCTTCTGTTGTTACACTACCAATCAAATCAAGTGAAAAATAATGGAATTATATAAATGAAGTTAGGAAGTCGTGTGAGTACCTTCATATGATTATGAACAATAAATTGTGCTCAAAACGTCATAAGTAAACTTTACTGTATAACACTGTGAGACTTTATTAAAACAAAATTTACCCATACTGGAATTACACTCTACCAGATTGCACAAGTTTTATTCTTATATCATTCTCACGACTGAGAATCGAATATATTATAGTGAAGAAAATGTATATAAATATCATCTTTTCGATGTGGTTGTCAAAAAGTCACTTCATTCAATTCTACGTCAACAAAAAGACTCAACAGCGAAAGAAGATAAAACCAAAATCATCTACAAAATAAATTGTAACAACTGCGAAAAACACTACATTGGCCAATGTGGACGTCCCCTTCGTCTCCGTATCCACGATCAAAAGACATGACATCCACTCCATCACTCATATCACTACATACAGACAACCACGGACATCAATTCGACTGGGACAACCAACGTTCGAATATTAGACTGAGGAAACAACAAGAATGCTAGAGAATTTTTAGAAGCCTGTCTGATATTCCAGTGAATCATCAATCAATAGACACATCGAGATAGACAAAATTTATCAACTGATAAGAAAGAAACTTCACACACAAAGGGTCAAAGTTCAAGTCAAAGAAACTATCAGTTACAATACAAGTAACCTAGAAGGTGTGAAAACACACAAAAACAACCAATCACTTCCAAGGTCACCAAGAGGGATGATTAATAAACTCGTGGAGAAATCCAAAAGCTCACTTCATCGGATTGAAGTATGCGCTGAAGATGTCACCTAGTCGGGTGGTGAAAGCTTCGTAAATCAACCATCCAGCTCAGAGAACACAACCACATCAAAATCATCCATCTGAGCTACAAATCTTCTCTATCATATCTATATCATGTGTTGTTTCCTAAAATGCACAATACAATCCTCTTAGAATGCCAGGCCAATCTTTGTCTTTTGTTATGTGCGTAGCTCAGTCAATCGGAAGGTACAAAGGACAAATAGGCAGTCTGTTTGTTAGGCTAGCGTACCAGTTGAGTTCACTATCGTTACAAATAATTAGCAGGCGCAGACATAACAAATTCGCGACAGGTTTAATTCAGTTTACTATACACATATATAACAGTTTGCTCTAACTATTTTTCTTCCGAATAAATGACATGAATATTCTCAAGTTGCCTCAGGAAGACGAGCTTAAAGACAAAGAATATACTTGAATATCAATGAGATGCTCACTAGCGACTCTCCCTATTCAGGTAGGTAGTTACCTCGGGTTCTAGTGAGAAGTCGTGACCAGTAGAGTGCAACAGGTCGGGTGTGAGGACAAATACTCGCCGAAGACATTGGCTAAGGTGGTCACGCTATGTCATGAATTGGCAGAATTTAGAATTCATAGGCTGGTCATTGGATCGGGTCACAGTGGCTTAATAGTATACCAGCTCACCTTGTAACCAGAAGTTCCTGGGTTCGAATCCCGGTGGGTGTGTACTGATGAAGAGTCCCAAACCAGGACGAAACAGCTGTCCAATACTCCCAAGTTCTCCAATGGTTCTCTAACTAATGTCAGCTCATGATGAGATCACGTAACAAAGAATAGTCTTTATCATTATTTTTATACAACATATTAAGAAAGAGAACAAGCAAAATTGTGTTGATAAATACGAAATATCCTTTAAATCTCGCAAAAGAGGAAGTAGAATTAGAAAAGGAGAAGCAGGAGAAAAAATCAAAAAAATAAGTGAATAGATGATAAAATTTGAAACACAATTAAAAAAAGTAGCTGGAAAGACCGGTCACAATTTTGTATCTATGGAAGAAGAGATGCTTCTTCATTCTTTCTTTCTTCTATTCACTGTACAAAGTTGACTCATTTCTTCATTGCTTTACGAACTGCTACAGAGGCCACCTCTTCTAGACTCTTTGCAGCATATAATTCCAGACCGCTATTACAGATAAGTGAATGAGCTTCAGCAGCATTGTTCCCTTCTAGTCGAACAACAACCGGGATATTTACGACTTTCTTTTTCAATGCAGATATAAGACCTTCAGCGATTGTTTTACAGTTGACAATACCACCAAATATATTGACAAGAATGCATTTAATGCGACCGTCTCCTAAGAAGAGGAAGAAGGGAAAATAAAAGGAAATTATACAAGGAGGTTGGTCAATTATAAAAATGCCTCCAAAGCCTCAGGATGGTCGGGGGTGGGTGTCTTGCGCTGCGGGTTGGCCACCCCTCCGTACACCTCTTGAAATGCTCCCATATGACCGGGCGTCTTACATAGCCTCTCCTGAGGAAGTCCTACTCACTGCCTTCACGTGGTGGGGGTGTTTTTCACCAAAGTGAGAGGGCAAAAGCGGATGCCCGGCGCTCTTCACCGGGTTGACTGTCCATTGGATGACAGTCTAGGGGAGATGGCTAAACCCTGATTCCAAACCTCCAACGACTGGCGTATGAAGCTCACCGGCAGACGTATGGACAAAGGGCTTATTGGATGCCTTGAATGACTGGCCCCATTCAAAAAGGCGAATGAACCGGACTCCGGTCACCGGCTGCCAATGGATAGTGGACTCCCTACTCCACTCCTACTGCCTTGTAGGTCACACTTGGTTGTGTAAAGGCTAGAGCTGCACTCTCAAACAAAAGGCCGAGCGATGCTGGGGACATCACTCGTACCCAATTCCCATGAAACTTCATGGTTCATGAAGCCGGCTCATCCTTCCGTAGGAGATAGCCGAAGTAAAGTAAGTAAGTAAATTATAAAAATGGACAGATGAGTTGGATCTGCGGATAGAGAAAAACAAATTCTATGTCAGATAAGTTTACTTTATGTAACACAAGTGGTACAGTATCATTATTATTATTACATATAGCGAAGGCAATCGGAACTCATCTGAACAAGCCAAATATGTGTTCAGCTGCTTTCTTTGCCTTGGTCAACTACATAATATGTATTAAATTTTTAAAACCGATATTTTCTACCCCCCTCTTGTAATTATCTTTTGACTTTGTTAATTTTTATAATTTTAGCTAATTCTGTTAACTTGTTTGTATTTTACGTAACTCTTATATACCTCAATCGGACCAAAACTAGCAAAAGAAACTATGGAGCAATGACTTGGCAACGACGAACACCTTCCCACAACAATCAAAAATGCAACACACAAGCTGGATGGAATGCATAAGCCTATGCTTAACAACATACTTCCAATTCAACGGCCAAATATATGAATAAGTCAAAGGAACACCCATGGGATTGATCGCAAATATCAGGTTTGATTGCAGAAGCAGTGATGCAAAGACTCGAAAACATAATTCTACCAAAGATCACACCCAAGATTGGGATATGTTACGTAGATGACACATTTGTAATAATCAAGAGAAACGGGTTAGATAAGACTCATAGCTTATTAAACAACGTCTTCAACGACATCAAAATCACAAGAGAAGAAGAATCCGAGAACCAAATCCCATTTTTGGACGTCTTATTCGAGTGAACAACCACGGGAGAATTAGAAACTTGAGTTTATAGAAAATCAACTCACACAGACCAAATCCTGAATTACAACAGCAATAATCCAATAACACACAAAAGGAATTGCATACAAACACTATTCAAGAGGGCAAGGACTCATTGCAGCACTCCCATCTTAAGGAAAATTGAACAAAGATATCTCATGGACGTCTTCCAATAGAATGGATATTCACGGAATTTCATCAAAAGACATATAGCCCCAAGCCAACCTATCAAACCAAAAGCCCCCAAGGAAAGCACAAAGAAAATTGCCTTATCATATATAAAGGATATCTCAGAAATCACTACAAGACTCTTCAAACCTTTAGGAATTGACGTCGCACACAAACCAACGAAGTCACTTCACTCAGTTCTACGTCAACAAAAAGACTCAACAGCGAAAGAAGATAAAACCAAAATCATCTACAAAAAAAATTGTAACAACTGCGAAAAACACTACATTGGCCAATGTGGACGTCCCCTTCGTCTCCGTATCCACGATCAAAAGACATGACATCCACTCCATCACTCATATCACTACATACAGACAACCACGGACATCAATTCGACTGGGACAACCAACGTTCGAATATTAGACTGAGGAAACAACAAGAATGCTAGAGAATTTTTAGAAGCCTGTCTGATATTCCAGTGAATCATCAATCAATAGACACATCGAGATAGACAAAATTTATCAACTGATAAGAAAGAAACTTCACACACAAAGGGTCAAAGTTCAAGTCAAAGAAACTATCAGTTACAATACAAGTAACCTAGAAGGTGTGAAAACACACAAAAACAACCAATCACGTCAAAAGTCACCACCAGGAGAGATGATTAATAACCTCGTGGCGAAATCTGAAAGCTCACTTCATCGGATTGAAGTATGCGCTGAAGATGTTGGCTATTAGGGCGATGAAAGCTTAGCGAATTAACTATCCAGCTCAGAGGACACAACCACATCGAAATCTTCTGAGTCATCCTATTCTTTTAAGTCATCATTGCTATTTTACAAATTTCTTGATTGTGTAATAACTTGTTGCCAATGCCTAAGAGTCAACTTATCTTGAATTCCGTAATTAATTTTCACCCCTATTTTAAAACTTAGATATCTTGTTACTAACAGTTATTAGTTCACTGGGCAGTACACTAACTTCAACAGTTGGATACCTTTAGTGAGAAAGAGAAATCTCATTCATTCCTTATGCTCCAGAATTCGTAAAATCTGCTCTGCAGAGACAATCGATAGGGAACTAGATAACCTTCGATCAAATCTCCTTAACAATGTTTATCTCACAAGGTTCATTGAACATAACATCAAGAAAGAATCCGCCCCGAGACGAGTCACAGTACCAAGGAAAAAACTCCTTCCGAGTCTCCCTTCTGAGTTCTCTAAATGACGTCAGCTCATGATGAAATCCTGTAATCAATCAACCGAATTCCTACAAACCAATACTTAGGCTTTGATTCACACTACCTAAAATCGGTAGAGGTAGATTTAATTAAGTGTTCATATAATCGACACAGGCATCTGGATTAAAATAGTCTGTCTGTCTGTTTTCGACATAGAACTTTGCACAAATGTGCGGAAGTTCAAGTCACCACACTCCATGTAGCACGCGAAGCAAGAGAAGAAAGTACAAGAAAAGCATAATAGAAACAGTGAGCAGATGTGTGAGACAAAGGAGTAATAAAGAATAACAAAACAGTTTCATTGGAGATCATAAGTCACAAGGAGTGGATGCATCTGCGCCAATGAGAACGATTTTGAGCCATGTCACCAATTGTTTCCAACCATTGATTTTTACCGTCCCGAGGACCCCAGCCTGGAAGTCTACACCTTCCTACGTGGCTTAGATTAACTGTTGTGGATTTCATCGACTTGTGCCAAGTTTTTGTTTGACCGCCGCTAGCGTTTTTCCAGCCTGACCCTATATCCGCGAACATAGCTCGTCGAGGGAGGCGATGGCTTGGCATACGTAACACATGTCCTAACCATCTCAGTCGATGTAGCTTCACAACCTCGTCGATTGATTTCCCCTCCTTACCTAGCACTCGACGCCTAACCTCAATATTGCTCGCCTTATTATACCACTTCACACGGGAGATAGAGCGCAGACACCTATGATCAAAGACAGCTAGTCTTTTCATGTCTTCCACTCTCAGTGGCCAGGTCTCGCTCACAACCATAAAGGAGGACGGAGCGGACTGATGAGCAGTACACCCGCCCTTTGGTCGATAGTCGAACATCTCGTCTACGCCAGAGTCGGCGTAAACTGGCAAATGCGAAACGAGCCCCCTGTATTCGTGCTGAGATTTCGTCAGAGATCAACCCGTTGGCACTGGCTGATGGTACTTCCCAAATAAGTGAAGCGGTCAACGTGCTCTACCACTTCACTTCCTATTTTTAAACTAGGCGTCGATGTAGTCCAGTCCAGTCCAGTTGTAACATCATCTTGCATTTGGCGGGAGAGAATCGCATGCCAAACATTCGTAGATTACAGCTCAAAGTGTTTAGAAGACTCTGCATTTCGTCAGCGTCTTCGCCTAGAAGGACTATATCGTCTGCATATTCCAAGTCAACGAGATTATTCCCTGGTAGCAAGTCAATTCCTGAGTCACTGAAGTCACCTAGGGTTAAGTCCATTAACACATCTATGATGAAGTTGAATAGAAAAGGAGATAATGGGCATCCTTGACGGACACCACTGGTCGTCATCAGTTCAGATGACAGCTCGCCGTAAGCCCTCACCTGGCTGTATGAGTACGAATAGAGTGCCTTAATCAGTGCAATATATTTTCTCGGAATTCCCTTTACAGCCAAGCATCTCCAGAGAACTTCCCGATCGACAGAGTCGAATGCTGCCTTTGGGTCAAGAAATATAATGACTGTTGGACGCCGGTAGGAATGCCTATGTTCTAGAATCTGTCGGAGGGTGAAGATATGATCAATACACCCTCTTCCTGGTCCAAAGCCTGCCTGGCTCTCTCGTGTTTGTGCCTCCCGAGCACCACTTAGTCTACGCATGATTATTGAGCCTAAGACTTTAGATACTATATTAGTCAAGCTAATCCCTCTGTGATTATCACAGGAAGACTTGTCTCCCTTCTTGTATATGGGGATAATCAGTGACTTACACCAACCCGATGGGACTTCTTCTGATTCCCAGACGCTGCCTAGTACCTCAGTTAATCCAGACAGTAAGCTGTCTCCACCGTACTTAAATACCTCTGGAGTGAAATATAGTGAAATCAAGCGAACAAAGAAAACGTTTTAAGTGAATAACTACCCATCAGGTTTTATTCAAAACTATATGAAGACCCCTAAGGAATATAAGAGTAGTAATGTAAATAATATAAATAACAAGAAATTTAAAGCCTGGATAGGACTGCCATGTAAAGAAGGAACATCATGTCACCTACATAGAATTCTTAATAACGTTTGAATTAGACTGGTATTGAAGCCAACTAACTTACTCGGAGACAAACTTTGCCGGCTTAAAGACCCGATAGATCCAATTTTTAAAAAAAATTATAAAATCTACAAAATGCTATGCAAGACTGTGAAGTTAATTACATGAGTTAAACTAGTCGATCCC